TCTACGAGGTCGGCGAAATCCGCACTCGAGATGAGACGATCGCCCAGAAATCGGGCCTTAGCAAGAATGCCGAAGATCTTTTGAAGGTGGTGGCATTTGATCAGCCATCCCCAGCCGTGTCAGAAGGTCAAGTGATGGACAAACTCCATGCCTTTTTCGTGGCTCTCGAGTATTTGAACATCTGTGATTTCTCGTTCGCAGCTGGCCCTCTCCAATACTTGGCCGATCTGGAAGAATGGCGCCATGAGAACCGAGGGTTGGCCTTGTTGCTCACAGTTGACTCGTTGATCCGCAAGAAGGTGCATCGTCTCGGGTCTGATCAGAGGAAGAAGTTCACCAACTACTCCGCTGCTCTGAAAGAAGTGCTCGCCTTCCACAAGCAATTGTGGAACGATGCTAGATCTAGTGCTGAGCTTGATAAGTTTAAGCAGTTGCAATCGACTTCATCTCCCAGGACACCGCCCACAAAGAGACAGCGCTCGCAGTCTCCTGTGACACCTCCCAAAGGGGCTAAGGCTCGCAAAAACAAAGCTCGTCGCGAGAAGCTCAAAGCCCTGGCCAAACAGGCTAAACAAGGCTCTCCCGCAGCGAGTTCAGCCAAGCCCGTTCGTGATGCGCGTGTCCCAGCAGATGAGTGGAAGAAGATCACTTCGTTCAAGTACAGTGGAGCTCGTCGGTGCCCCTTCTTCAACTGCTCATTGGGCTGTCGCTTTGGAGATCAGTGCAAGAACAAGCATGTGTGCGTCGAGTGCGGCGGTGAGCACTCGTGGCACAGCAACCACTGAAGACGATCGGAATCCCCGGGGGGGCTGCCTCCCCCCCCTGGGGTTGGGGCAAAGGAGGCAGATCCGGCACCGGGTCCCCAGCGGCCCTCTGCCGGCTGGCGATCGTGGGATGAGGTGCCTCGTGATCCATTTGAGGTAGCTGCACATGGTCCCTTCTTTGTGGAGCTCTTTTCGGGAACCGCTCGGCTGACGGCAGCTGTTAGGCTGCAAGGGGTTCCATGCCTCCCACCAATCGACATCACTCTATGTGAAGAAGTGCCAGCTCCGAGAGACGTGGTGGATCTTGAGTTTTGGGACTTTTTCATGAAGGTAGTGAGTTTGGGAGCGATCGCTTTCCTGCATTGTGGAACTCCATGCAACACGTTTTCTGCCGCTCGCAAACTCGATGGCGGTCCTCCACCAATTCGCTCAAAGAGTCATCCGTTGGGTCTGCCACAGTTGTCCGATATGAACCAAGCTTTGGTCTTCTTGGGTAACCTCTTCGTGCTGCGCACAGCAGAGGCGTGCTTGACGGTCTTTTTGCTCGGCGGTGATTTTTCCATCGAGAATCCTCTGTTCAGCCTCATGTGGGATACGCCTCCGATGCTGGATCTCTGGCACGCTTGCAGAGCTGTCGCGGTTGATTTTGATCAATGCATGTTTGGGGCACCCTCACGGAAGCCGACTCGGCTCTTAGTCACTTCAGCACTGTTCGATGTTCTCAAGGTCCAATGCTCTGGTGCGCATCCCCATGTGGCTCTTCAGGGACAAGAGTGGTGTTCTCAGTCGAACATGTGGATCTGGAAGACAAAGAAGGCTCAGGTGTACCCTCACAAGATGTGTGATCACATGGCTGCCACAGTGTGTGCCTTGGTTCGGCGAGATCTGTCCCACCTTCAGCCTTCTTTTGCGCTGGCTTTGACTGCCTCGGAGCGCAAGCGGCCGCTCGGCCCTGGGCTCAGTCGTCCAGCGCATCGTCAGGCCACTACCGCCACTCTGGCGCAACTTGCAGGCTACCAACTCAAACGAGGTGCGGCTAAGCCTTTGATCCAAGATGAGCTCGAGCCTGGTCAAGCGATCGCATGGGCGATGTCTGTGCCGCATCCGTTTACCCAGCCTACAGATCTGCCTGTCGGTTTGGACGTCGCTATTGAGGCCGTCGTCACCAACCCTGACCAGGTCGTGAGTGAGCGGGTTAACAATCTGAAGCTGTGGGAGGACGCCGCTCACCGTCTCCTTCCCGTTTCTGATCAGATTCTGCTGGCATTGCCGGATCCGGCCTTGCGCCGCTTGTTGCGAGGAGTTCCTGACAATCAGCCGGCCCAGCTCGGCTTGACTTGCCATGTGGAGCTCTATCGAGCTATGCTTGCAGCATGCAAATCGGTTGATCAAAGCTTGCCCGACTTTCTGACCTACAGGTTTCCCATCGTCGGTCCGATCGCTCGGACGGGTCGTTGGCCTGACTACATCAAAGCTCAGCCTAACATCCCGATCGCGGAAGCACTCAAACGGGCCTGGGATCTCCGGAAGAAGATTGTTCGAAGAGTGCAAGCAGTTCCGGTATCGCAAAACCTTCAGAAAATCTGGGATGCTACTCTCGAAGACGTTCAAGAAGGCTCGACCGCAGGACCTTTCAACTCGGAAGAGGAAGTGTCGGCCTTTCTCAGGCAAGATGACTGGATTCCAACCCAGAGGTTTGAGGTGGTCCAGAAGAATAAGGTCCGTGGTTGCGACAGCGCCACCACAAACATGATCAACCAAGTGACGGTCATCAGCGAAAAGCTCCAGCTGCCCTCTACTGACATGAACGTCGCTGCAATTCGCAAGTTGAGATCTTCTGCTCCTTGGAAACCGATCGGGGGATGGGTGCTTGGCGAGCGCAAAGCGTATCGTCAGGTAGCTATCAGACCTGATCATCGTAAGTTTTCTGTCATTTGTTTGAAAGATCCTTCTTCGGCGACCGCTAAGTTCTTTGTCATGATAGGGCACTCGTTTGGACTAGTCTCTGCTGTTTATAATTACAATCGGCGTTCGGCTGCCATCAATGAATTTTTAGTCTCTTTGTTCAAGCTCGTCGCGTTCAGTTTTTATGACGACAAGTACGGGTTTGAACCTGAGGAGACTTTAGCCAGCGCTCGATTGGTTGCAGAGTGTGTTCACACGTGGTTAGGAGCTAGATTCGACACGAAGAAACTCCAATTAGGGTGCTCCCCTACAATTCTCGGAGTTACATATGATCTTGCTCACATGCGACTGCTGATCAAGCCGGACAGGAAACAAGACCTGCTCGACGAGCTGGATGCCATCCTGAAGACAGGGCTGCTCGACCCTGGCTCGGCCGGCAAGCTCAAGGGCAAGCTCATGTTTGGCGCGTCGCAGCTTTGGGGCAAGGTCGGGAGAGCGTTCCTGCGTGTCATTTCAGAGAGGCAATACCTAAGGTTCCCGCAAACTGATCAGTTTCCTTGGGCCCGGCCCTGAGCGAAGCTCTAAGACAATGGAGAAAACTCATCCAGTCAGGTCCCCCCAGGTTGATCGACCTGCAGGTTCAAAAACCCGCGGACGTTGTGATTTTCACAGATGGCTTCACTCCGGATCCGAGAGAGCGGGACGTCCGGCCGGATCGGATAGGAGCTGTTTTGTTTGACCGACGTTTGCGGTGCCCTCTGCAATTGACAGCTCTAGTTCCCCGAGCTTTAAAGAAGAAGTGGCTCGAACGAGCAACTCAGATCGTGCCCGTTGAAATGGTAGCGCCGATCGTAGCTCTTTGGACTTTCGCAGATCGTGTGAAAGGAGCAGATGTAATCTTGCTCATAGATTCAGAGGCTGTCGAAGGCGCCTTGATCAAGGGATACTCGAGTAAGAGCGACCTCTGCGGACTAGTGTCGATCTTTTGGGATGTCTCGCTCGAGTTTCATACTAGAATCTTTATCGATAGGATCTCGACGGATGCAAACCCGGCTGACTGGCCGTCTCGGGGGGATTTGGATCGAGGGTTAGAGGCCGGTTGGGTCACAGTCGAACCATCCTGGCCCCCCCTCTCTAAGTTCTTGACCTGGGTATGGCTAGTTCTAGTCGGTTAGGGGCCTGGGTATGTGTGGTCTGAGTCTTGTTGATCAGGTTTTTGTTGGATCTGACTTCCTTGTCACTATCACTGTTGTGCCAAGTGTTTTGATCTTTGATACTTGATCAATTTTTCAAGGCTAGACCGCTCGGAGCAGAGCCATCAACTTGAAAGGATCAGCTCTACCCCACGCCATCGAGCTGTCCAAAATGATCGCGCGGATAGCTCGCTTGTGATCGAGTTCAGGAAGGTAGAAATCTCTAGTTCGACCGTGCAACATCTGTTCGAAGTTGTGCAGTTGTTTGCGGTAAGGTTGGTTTGGTACAACTGTGTAACTTTGTTAGATGTTGATCCTGATTCGATCGATGATTCATTTCCTTTGCCATTTTGGCCTCAAAGGCCCAAAGATCCATTCTCTTTTTGACCCAAACCCGCCCACCCTGTGGCTTCGGTCACGGTGGTGGGTGGTGACCTCTGATTTAAGCATTTCTGCCGGTATGTGTGGTCTGAGTCTTGTTGATCAGGTTTTTGTTGGATCTGT